TCCTTTCAGCCAGAGAACACAATATAAAATATAGCAGAAGAACGAGAGTGGCCATGGCACAATTGAGATCGAAATGGAAGTACTGATCTCGCATAGACCGAGCCTTCCCTAATAAATGTCCAGCATGTGATCAGTGTGCCCCCGAGAAATTCAACTGACCATCCAACTCTACTTCACTTTGTCCAATGGCTTTATGAAAGAATCCTCTAAGTTGTTTCTGAACTGATATGTGTTTCATTAAACACAAAGTTACTTGAAAACTCCTTAGAAGTACGTTGAAATCTGAACGATGATCTACAGCCTATAGAAGTAATCAATAGTTCCATGGTTGCTGTTAAAGATTCGGAAGTGGTTTTATTTGCTCCCATTTTATAACAAATTCAAAATTATTTCCTGGATCATAGATTCTTAAAGGTACAATATACAAAAGTAACTTTTCGTAAACTTTAGGAATAACCTAATTATAAATTTCCCCCAAAAAAAAACTTTAAGAAAACTTTATTTAAGCAAATTTTATTCCATTCATATTTAAGTTGGGTACAACAATCCAACTTTTTGCACACATTTGTAAATTCAACAATTACTAACACTCATAAAAACAACAACAATTTAAAACTACATAAAGAACCTTTTTGGAAAACGAAAAGGAAAACTGGTACAGAAAAAGGACAGCAAAGAAAACAAAAGGGAAAAATGTCAGTTACACAGCTAAACACATAGAAAATAACCTACACCCACAGCACAACAATACTAAAACATATTTAAACACATTTATTTTAAAGTCTAACATTAAAGCTTTTGTTAGAAAACGGAAATATTAGATTTTGAAAAGGAAAACAAAAACATACAACAAAAGGAGCAAAAAACAAGTAAGAGTGTTATATTCGGCTGTGCCGAATCTTGTATACCCACCATCAAATCATTGCCAAAAAGGAATGCTTCCTTATAAATAAACTTTGATATTTAAGAATCGATGCTTTTGTTATTATCAAAACAATTTTCTCATTTATTACATCTATGTATGTATAGGGAAATTTTTGTCGAATTTTGTCGCTGTCCTTGTATTTTTAAGGTAGCAAAAAGTTATTTTCTGAGGGGACGTTTGGTCAATTATGGACCGATCGTCGTCAAATTTTCTATAACGATTTTAGTTTAGGCTAGTAATGAGCGTTAAAGTCATTTTCCGAAGGGGACCGTATATGGGGGTAGGATAAATTATGGACCGATCGTTATAAAATTTTACAAAGCGATTTAGGTTTTTATAGAATAAGTTTATGTCAAATTTCATCGCTATAGATGCTTCTTTTAGACCATTCTGAGCGTTAAAGTATTTTTCTGAAGGCGACCTTATATGGGGAGTAGGGTCAATTATGAACCGATCCATATACAATTTTACAAAGCGATTTAGGTTCCTATAAAATATGTTCATCTCGAATTTCATCGCTATAGATGCTTCTTTTGGACAGTTATGAGCGTTAAAGTCATTTTCTGAAGAGGAACTTATATGGGGGGTAGGGTCAATTATGGACCGATCCTTATAAAATTTTACAATGATATAAAGGTTCCTAAAAATATGTTTATGTCGAATTTCATCGCTATAGATGCTTTTTTTAGTCAGTTATGAGCGTTAATGTCATTTTCTAAGCGGGACCTTATATGGGGGATAGGGTCAATTATGGACTGATTCTTATAAAATCTTACGATGATATTAAGGTTCCTCAGAAATATGTATATGTCGAATTTCATCGCTATGGCTGCTTTTTTTAGTCAGTTATGAGCGTTAATGTCGTTTTCTGAGGGGTACCTTATATGGGGAATAGGGTCAATTATGGACCGATGCTTATAAAATTTTACAATGATATTAAGGTTCCTAAAAAATATGTATATGTCGAATTTCGTCGCTATGGCTGCTTTTTTTAGTCAGTTATGAGCGTTAATGTCATTTTCTGAGAGGGACCTTATATTGGGGATAGGGTCAATTATGGACCGATCCTTATAAAATTTTACAATGATACTGAGATTCCTTAAAAATATGTTTATGACGAATTTCATCGCTATAGCTGCTTCTTTTAGTCAGTTATGAGCGTTAATGTCATTTTCTGAGGGGGACCTTATATGGGGGATAGGGTCAATTATGGACCGATCCTTATAAAATTTCACAATGATATTAAGATTCCTATAAAATATGTTTGTGTCGAATTTCATCGCTATAGCTGCTTTTTTTTAATCAGTTATGAGCGTTAATGTCATTTTCTGAGGAGGACCTAATATGGGGGATAGGGTCAATTATAGACCGATCCTTATAAAATTTTACAATGATATTAAGGTTCCTAAAAAATATGTATATGTCGAATTTCATCGCTATGGCTGCTTTTTTAGTCAGTTATGAGCGTTAATGTCATTTTCTGAGATGGACCTTATATGGGGGATAGGGTCAATTATGGACCGATCCTTATAAAATTTTACAATGATATTAAGATTTCTATAAAATATGTTTATGTCGAATTTCATTGCTATAGCTGCTTTTTTTAGTCAGTTATGAGCGTTATTGTCATTTTCTGAGGGGGACCTTATATGGGGGATAGGGTCAATTATGGACCGATCCTTATAAAATTTTACAATGATACTAAGATTCCTAAAAAATATGTTTATGACTAATTTCACCGCTATAGCTGCTTCTTTTAGTCAGTTATGAGCGTTAATGTTATTTTCTGAGGGGGACCTTATATGGGGGCTAGGCGAAATCGTGGACCGATATTGCCCATTTTCAATACCAAACAAACTGCATCAATATAAAATATTTGTGCAAAATTTCAGCTCGCTAGCTGCTTCCGTTTGGACTCTATCGTGTTTTCAACAGACGGACAGACGGACAGACAGACGGACGGACATGGCTAGATCGTCTTAGAATTTAATGAGGTTCCAGAATATATATACTTTTATGGGTCTTAGATGAATATTTCGATGTGTTACAAACGGAATGACAAAAACAATATACCCCCCATCTTTTTTGATGGTGGGTATAAAAAGGAAAAATATTATATATATTAATGTTGTTATATACACACATATAATATAGTAGAGGGTTTATATAAGTGGGATTGAATGTGAGAGAGAGTGTGTGTGTATGAGTGTTAAAAAGGATGTTACTAACCTACAGCAACTTGTGGCGATTGTATGAGTAAGTATTTGACTGAGTATTTAAGTTAAACCGGAAATACATTATGAGTAGTTCTTTTTTTCTTTTGTGCTTATTTTTTTTTTTTTCCTTTTTATGGTTTATGAGATTTTTCCTAATGTTAGTGTTGTATTTACTTTTAAAGATTTCGTATATGATTTGTGTATTGTAGTTGTTGTTTTGCAACTTCAAGAGATTACGTGTTTTGGTAATTGTGAAGCATAAATAAGAAACTATGTCACCAAACAGATGAGAGGGATGGGAAATAACTTAAAGCTAAAAAGCGTTTAACAATATTTCTCTAGGGAACTTTGAGATTTTCTAACAGAAACCGAAACAAATTAAATACCAAACATGTTTGTTATTCTAAATAGAATAAGGAAGTGAGTTAAGGAAAATTATAGTTAGATTTATATAAAACTATATAAAGCATGTGTGCAAATACTCTCTCGCTATCTTTCATTCTCTGTGTGTGAGTGTTTTTTATTGAAAGACACGTGTTCTGCTGGAGTAAAGTTAACAGTAAATGAGCAAAGTTTGTGTTATATTAGCAGAAGTTCGAATAAATTTAGGAGTCTGCGCTTGACAATACAAACCACATGTTAAATAAACTTGGCGCCAAAATTTTCCTTTAATATTTTGTTAGTTCTTCTGAATAAAATTTCTCTAACAGTTTTTCATAGTAGAATTACGAGAGCATTTTTTAAGGAGAGTATTTTGTTCTATATAATGCCATGTTAACTCTGTATGTTAAGGTTAAATTTAATATTTTCCGAAAAGCCGAAAATTGTGAGTGTGTTGTGAATTTTTTGAAGTAGGAAATTTTGTAACAGCATCCAGTTTAACGACGATGCTTTTTGGGCTAACAACGCTTTAAACGCCGAGATTTACGTGAATATCAGTTTTTTTTAAAGAATTTACACAAAAAAATGTTGTTGTCTAGAGTAACAAAACGTGTAATTAAAAGTCTAAAGGAATATTAGAGCAAAAAAAAAAAAAAAAAAGAAGATATAAAACGGAAATTCTTTAACAAATTTAATAACATAAAACCAGAAACCGGGATACACCTATAAGGGTGACTTGAGTTAAATTTAAAGTTGAAAATCAAACAAAAAAATTTAAGAAATAAATTGCCATTTCTCAAGATTTATGCATAAAAGTGAAAAGTTTGTTTAAAATATGAAAAAGCTTTAATGATTTAGTTTGGAAGAGAAAAATTAAGCGGCTCGTAGTTTGTGAAAATCTAAAAATAATCAAAAATATTTATAAAAATTTAAAAAATTAAATTTAAATATTCATAACAATTTCAATGTCTTTATGTGAAACTCAAATAAAAAGTTGTAAAATTTAAAAGTTTAAATTAAATTTTAATAAAAAATTAAACCAAAAATTTTTTAAAAAATATTAAAAAAAATATTTAAAAAAATATAAAAATATAAAGATATATTTCTGATATATGTTAAGGAAATAATTGTTAAAAATTCTTAAAAATAAATTACAAAAATTTGGCCACAAAATCAAAATTTTGAAAAATAATCAAAGTTATTAAAACTATTTATCAAACAAATAAAAAAAAATAAAAAAATTTTAATAAGTGATTCGACCAACTAATTGCTCAAATAAATTCTTTCAAAACAAAATTTGTATAAATTTCTTTAAAATGGAAAAAAATCAAATAAAATAAAAAAAATCCCATCAAAAAACCTAAAAAATCCTATCAATTAAAAAAAAAGAAATCAAAATTTATTTAATTTTTAAACAAAAACTTAAAAATCAAAAAAAAAAAATTAAATAAATTTTTGCTCAAAATCAGATTATAAAAAATCAAAAAAATTTTTTTAAGTGTAAAATTTTAAAATAACAAAGAAAATAACTTAAAAAATAATCAAAATATTTCAATCAAATTTATTCACAACTCGCATATTACATTTTCTGCTCAACTAAAAAAAAATCAAAAGAATAGAATATAAATTAACAAAACCAAAAAAAAATATGCAATAACCCTAAGGCGTTTTTGTGTTTTGCCAAAGCATCGAATACAAAAAAAGGATTAATATTTATACAATTGAAATAACGTTCTATACGTGAGCAAGGATAATAAAAATAGCTGAAGGTGTGTATATGTAGATATGTGCTGGTTACTGTTTGTTTTAGATTGATTACACAAGGAAATGAAAATAAAATATAATATTTCATTACTGATATACTACAACAGCAATGCAAATCTTATATTTACGTTCTAAAGGACTTAGTGCACGAATTTATTAAATCAAACTTTATAGTGGATTTAACATCGTAATCATTTTTTAGCCAAACACTAGTCAAATATGAAACAAATTAAAAACGTGTTTTTATACCCACCATCAAAAAAGATGGGGAAAATTAGTAACACATTGAGATATTGGTCATAGACCCGCAAAAGTGTTTGTAATCTGACTCCTTATTAAATTCTAAGACGATCTAGCCAAGTACGTCCGTCTGTTTGTATGTCTGTTGAAAGCACGATAGAGTCCGAACAGAAAGACATAGAAGATTGAAATTTTCCAGAAATATTCCTTATGGGTAAGGTTGTTTGGTATTGGAAATGGGCAAGATCGGACGACGTTTTCGGATAAAAGTGGACTCCGGGAAAACAGCATTAACAGGCATATCTGTTTTAAAAGTACGAGTACAGCTATGAAATTCAACATAAGTATGTTTCTTATAAGCCAAAATCTCTCTACCGACTTTTATGAGAATCGAACCATAATTGACCCTACCCCTTCAGAGGTCCCCTTCAGAAAACGACCACTACTGGCTTAAAAATGCGATTATGGAGATGAAATTCGACATAAACAAGTTCTGTGTGAAGGAAAATCGCTTTTCAAAATTTTATGAGGAGCACATCATAATTGACCCCACACCCCATATAAGGTCCCCTTCAGAAAATGTTTTTAACGCTCATTGTTGACCCTATCCCTTCAGAGGTCCCCTTCAGAAAACGACCACTACTGGCTTAAAAATGCGATTATGGCGATGAAATTCGACATAAACAAGTTCTGTGTGAAGAAAAATCGCTCTTCAAAATTTTATGAGGAGCACATCATAATTGACCCCACACCCCATATAAGGTCCCCTTCAGAAAATGTTTTTAACGCTCATTACTGGCCTAAAAATACAAGAATGATGACATAAGTAAGTTTCTTATGGGCCAAAACCTCTCTACTGACTTTTATGAGGATCGGTCCATAATTGACCCAGAAAATTACTTTAACGATCATTGCTGGCTAAAAAATATGTGTACAGTTATGAAATTCGACATATGAAACATTGGAAAGAATTTCCTATCGAAATGTTTCGGTCAATAATTGACCCTACCTTACCTGCCGCTTCAGAAAATTATATTAAATTCATCTGTGTTAAAATGTATTAGAAAATTAGAAAATTTCGATTACTTTTGCTGTTACACAACAATTTCTGATGTGCGTCTCGCATGGACCATTCTTAGATACCAAATTTTATATCTTTTCTTTGTAAAAAATATAAAAAAAAATCATAAAAACTTCAAAAATACCTTTTTGTCCTTTGATAAAGCTCACCAAATATTGACGCTAGGACAAAAATTTTGAGTAACGGTATCTTAGAATCAATTAAACTTTCATTTTAGTTGAAACATTGACACCTTTTTTTACTCCATACAAACGGGGCTACCCTAATGTACATATGTTCATGTTTTAAAATTTTACAAAAAATATTTTGTTTTAAAAAATTTATATTTATTTAATCCAAAAGAGCCATATTCCAAATATCACTCTGATGTATATAGGGGAGCATACGGCATACGATTTGATGTTGGGTATATGAGATTCGGTACATCCGAATGTAACACTCTCACTTGTTGATTGTTGTATGGACTAACTTTTATGTAGATCAGAAAAATAGTTTTGTGTTGTTATAAATATCTTAAATTGTAAATTATAGTCGACACTTGTTCTATAGAAAGGTTATGCTACTCAATGCTTTCTCTTCGTATTTGTCACCTTAGAATTTGGCATATGTCACTCATGAACAAATACTATACATGGAGCAACTAACTTTCATATAATTTTTAAAAATACTGTAAATTTTATAAATGAACGGGTTCTGTTTGACTTATATGTATATATTAGTATCACGATGAAGTTCTGCACAAATAACTCATATGAATTATACAATTTTCCACAGAACATGTTACTGAATCAATTGCGACATCACCAGTTTCAATGTTGCTTTTTGAAAACCTGAGTTGATACTGTTTGCACCAATTCTAAAATAAGTTTGATCTTTTAGCTCTTAACTTATTGAAAACATTCACACACATACATACCAGAAATAATTTTATATTTCTTAGTATACTTTAAGGAGCCAATATAAAAATTTGAAATTATTTATAAATAAGATAATTGGTAAAATTTAATATATCTAAAGATCTTTAATCAAAAGCAAATTTAAACATATTTTATTCACATGTCGTCTCCGGAAAAGCAAACGGTCCTAACTAACTAAAAATTCGAAATGGATTATATTGTTGATGTATTGTATCAAAGCCAAAGTCCAAAAAAAAAAATCAGCTTGGACCAATATTTGCGATTTAACAACAAACAAAAGGAACTATCTACAAAAATATGTAAAAACTAGCAATACCCAGTGTGCGTTGCTACCCTGAAAGCAATATGTATAAATAAAAAACCTACTTAATGATTTTGTAGATTCTAACTACACTAGTTTTCCAGATTTACTATATGTTACATATTGCAAGTTCGCCAGTTTCTGTCAATTGCCCATTTCTATCTATCTATGAAAAATTTGAAGAATATAAGAGTTTCCAACATACACGAAATTCTGTAATTAATTCATATATGTGGTGCCAAGCCACCCATTGAAAGTCCGCCCGTTATTCTCTAAATGTTCCCATGAATGTCAAAGTTCTTTATGTAAAATTTGAAGATTCTATCTCTAATAGTTGCTCAGATATACGAATTTTTCTATTTGATTCATGTGGGAACTTCAAGCTCTACAGATGAAAGTCCGCACTATTTCCTCCAAAATGTTCCGATGAATATTTAAGGTCTTCGTGCAAAATTTGAAGAATCTAGTTTCATTAGTTTCCCAGATAAACGAATTTTTGTATTTAATTAATATGGGAGGTGCCGCTCCCCTCTGGGTAGTCCGCCAATTTATTACTCAAAATATTTAAATGGATGTTAAAGTTATTCGTGCAAAATTTTAAGATTCTAACTGTAATAGTTTCCAAGATAAACGAATTTTTTTATTTAATTAATATGGGAGGTGCCACGCCCCCTAATGCTAGTCCGCTTACTTTTTGTCCTAAATAATCATATTGACACTAAAGTGGCTCCGATCAAATATACGGATTTCATATTTTCTTAATATGGGCGTGGCTCTCCGCCCACATGGAATTTCAAAATAAAAAGTAGCCCATTACCTATTCCAGACATGCAGGAATACATTGTGAAAATTTAGTAGTCTCTAACGTTCAAACATATAAACATACAAACAAACACACATTCATTTATATATATATAGATATTAAAGCTAACAAGTCCAATCTATCAACTATTATAACAAATGATGGGTATTACGGTTAAAAAATTTGTTTTTAATGAATGAATTTTTTGTTAACTTCCGGTTATGACTTTTAAATCCTTCCCATAGTGGGTTTGAGATTATGTTAATAACATTCAAAAATATTGTACCAAGTATACCAATAGGCTCAGAATCACTTTTTGAGTCAATTAAGCTATATCCGTCTGTGTGTGCACGTTACAGGTGCACGTTGCAAGTCACAATTATCAATATAATTTGCTGAAATTTAGCACATACTCTTCTCTTCACCTAGGGACAAAAGAAAGGGTAATTGAATATGGATGAAAATTATACTAAATGATCCAGTATCTCTACTCTGTAAATAAAACTGCAGATTTCGTAATGATGGGGCGTCATGTGACCCTAGCTCCCATACAAAATTCCCTTCAGAAACTATCAGGCACAAAACTTAAATTTTCCAAAAATAATTAAATTTAATCTTAAATTCTATATTATGCTTAAATTTTAATTAAGTTGCTTTAACTATATATATAATAACACTAAAAATACTAAAACAATATAATGTCCGTCAACATGCGTAATCCTTTATTTGGCCAATATTTTTTTGTTTTCTTCGTCTGACTTCTTTTGTGGCGTAATTCGTTTCTGAAATGAAATATGGTCATTAAAAAGCCATCAACATTATTACTGTCATCATAAATCTTAGTGTTGTATTTTGACCTCTTTTTTGGTTTTTTCATTTCATTTCAATTCGCTTTCATTTTGTATTCAACTTAATTCATCTCAATTTTATGTGGCTTTAATAAAAACAAAGACTTTTAAAAACATTTTCGTTTTAGCTGGTCATGCTCATGGTCGTAATATAACATAGTACGTGTGTCCATTATAAAATCTCAAGACATCAAGACAATAATCAACAATATGATAAAAGCAACAATAAAACAAGCAATTGAGTTTGTATACAAAAGCAAACAAAAATCAATTAAATATTATGAGAAATTTTCAACACAGACACCATAAATTCTTGATGTTGTCGTTAAAATCAAAAGATATTTTGATTGTTTATTATTATGTGCAATCTAAGTTATCTTAAAATAAAAAGTTATTGTTATAATTGAAGGAAATGATTCGAAGATTAAAGCAAGTGTAATGTTTCAAAATGTGTGTATTCCTTGGAGTAGATTTAGATTAATGTTGGAAAATATTTGCTGTGAAAGAGTTAAGAAATATGAGTAATTGCTTAGGATATTTCTTTATGTATCGCGGTAGGGGGTGGTAGTAATTGTAAATTATATAAAAGAAAATTTTATATTTTTTAGAAATAAATTGATACCAAAAATGATTTTTCATGGCCTAAACAAACTGTTGGCAAAATTTTGATATAAATTTTCAAATAAACTTTTTTCAATTTAATTAAAATCTAAGAAATATTAAACAGTATATCAAGTATCCAGCAAGCCAGACAGTACAACATGTACTCTACTTCAAAATTATTTATGTCAAATTGTTACCGATTCTATTATGAGAATTACGAACAATATTATTTCGAATCAAATTTTTATACGTGCGATCGTGTCGAAGGTGGTTCAATTTTCATATAATTATATTTTGCCACATGGATCCAAGACAAACGCAAAAATCAATGGACAGACAAAGCGAAAAAGATGCAGACGGACATATAAAGGGACGGAATGACCGACAGAAAGACAGACAAATCGATAGATGAAAGACATATCTAGTTCAGTTCTAGTTCAGTTCTAGTTCAGTTCTAGTTCAGTTCTAGTTCAGTTCTAGTTCAGTTCTAGTTCAGTTCTAGTTCAGTTCTAGTTCAGTTCTAGTTCAGTTCTAGTTCAGTTCTAGTTCAGTTCTAGTTCAGTTCTAGTTCAGTTCTAGTTCAGTTCTAGTTCAGTTCTAGTTCAGTTCTAGTTCAGTTCTAGTTCAGTTCTAGTTCAGTTCTAGTTCAGTTCTAGTTCAGTTCTAGTTCAGTTCTAGTTCAGTTCTAGTTCAGTTCTAGTTCAGTTCTAGTTCAGTTCTAGTTCAGTTCTAGTTCAGTTCTAGTCAGTTCTAGTTCAGTTCTAGTTCAGTTCTAGTTCTAGTTCAGTTCTAGTTCAGTTCTAGTTCAGTTCTAGTTCAGTTCTAGTTCAGTTCTAGTTCAGTTCTAGTTCCGTTCTAGTTCAGTTCTAGTTTCAGTTTCTAGTTCAGTTCTAGTTCAGTTCTAGTTCAGTTCTAGTTCAGTTCTAGTTCAGTTCTAGTTCAGTTCTAGTTCAGTTCTAGTTCAGTTCTAGTTCAGTTCTAGTTCAGTTCTAGTTCAGTTCTAGTTCAGTTCTAGTCAGTTCTAGTTCAGTTCTAGTTCTAGTTCAGTCTAGTCAGTTCTAGTTCAGTTCTAGTTCAGTTCTAGTTCAGTTCTAGTTCCGTTCTAGTTCAGTTCTAGTTCAGTTCTAGTTCAGTTCTAGTTCAGTTCTAGTTCAGTTCTAGTTCAGTTCTAGTTCAGTTCTAGTTCGTTCTAGTTCAGTTCTAGTTCAGTTCTAGTTCAGTTCTAGTTCAGTTCTAGTTCAGTTCTAGTTCAGTTCTAGTTCAGTTCTAGTTCAGTTCTAGTTCAGTTCTAGTTCAGTTCTAGTTCAGTTCTAGTTCAGTTCTAGTTCAGTTCTAGTTCAGTTCTAGTTCAGTTCTAGTTCAGTTCTAGTTCAGTTCTAGTTCAGTTCTAGTTCAGTTCTAGTTCAGTTCTAGTTCAGTTCTAGTTCAGTTCTAGTTCAGTTCTAGTTCAGTTCTAGTTCAGTTCTAGTTCAGTTCTAGTTCAGTTCTAGTTCAGTTCTAGTTCAGTTCTAGTTCAGTTCTAGTTCAGTTCTAGTTCAGTTCTAGTTCAGTTCTAGTTCAGTTCTAGTTCAGTTCTAGTTCAGCTCTTGTTCAGTTCTAGTTCAGTTCTAGTTCAGTTCTAATTCAGTTCTAGTTCAGTTCTAATTCAGTTCTAGTTCAGTTCTAGTTCAGTTCTAGTTCAGTTCTAGTTCAGTCTAGTTCAGTTCTAGTTCAGTTCTAGTTCAGTTCTAGTTCAGTTCTAGTTCAGTTCTAGTTCAGTTCTAGTTCAGTTCTAGTTCAGTTCTAGTTCTAGTTCAGTTCTAGTTCAGTTCTAGTTCAGGAATCCAAACTTCGCTCTATTGTTTGATTATAAAGTTTATATGTACAGATAGACGCTAGAGTGTATAACACTGACAAAAAGTGTTTCTCAGACATCTTCAATACTTATAAATTAATGTGATATTATTATTTTTTAGTGTTACAAACATCATCATAAACCTCATAATACCCTTATCTCCGCTATCATTTAGGTTATAAACACAATGAAATTTTTTATTAAAATCTTAAGAAATCTTATGCTTACTTTACCCATAACTAATTAAATCACAAATAAATCAAAAAATTTCTTTCTATTTTTCTTATCTTTGCAGAATCAAATTAAACAAATTTTTTTAATTAAATTGAAAAAGAAATAACAAAAAAAAAAAAAAAAACGTAACCTAGACGTACAAGTAATATTAATCTACTTAAACGTTTAAAAATCTTAAAAGCTTTTTACAGAATTTTAAATCAAAACATAAATTAAAAAGAAAAATGTGAGAAACAGTGAAAACACAACGAAAAACTTAATTAATTAGGCAAAACCATTTACAGACATACAACCCACAACCAAAGAAAAAGAAAAGTGGGGAGAAAATACGAAGTAAGACATAATTTATGAATGTTGAAAATTACATTTACAGAAAAGTAAAATTTAAAAAAAATAAAATCAATATTAAAACTTTTTGTCTCTGGGTAAAATGTGCAAATAAAAATACAATAAATTTTGAATAAAATTCAATTAAAAGTTTAAAACAACCAGAAAAAGGAAATTTCAACCAAATGACATATGCTGCTTAAAATAAATAAAGTGTTAACAAAAATATAAATCAAATTTTGCAAAAATTGCTAAATTAAAAAAAAATAGCATGTCAATCATTTGAAAAATTATTATAATTAAAACATCTGCCACAAATAAAATATCTTTTGAATTCTTAAAAAAAATAAGTGTGAAATAATAACAATAATATTAATATCCAACATAACAATGTGTTATTAAATTATTTATAAACATCAAATACCAGCATTTGTAATAACAAAATCATTTAAGTTTGTAACAAATAAAATTAAAAAAAAAATAAAGTTAAAATCATGAAAATATAACACCAGCAAATATAATAATTTAATAAATAAAATAAATTTTTATGTTCTGCATAATTAAAGCATTTATACATAAAATAAATTTCTATGAAAAAAAAAAAATCGTAATATTATTGTGCAAAAAATAATTCAATAAATAATAGTGTTCAAATATTCAATGTAATATTAAAAGGTGTTTAAAATATCAAAGAAAAAATATTCAATAAAATTGTGTAAATTTATTCAAATTGCTTGAAAAATTATGAAAATTTAATTGAAATTAAATAAATTTGTTAAAAACAATCACAAACTAACATACGGGTAAGTTATATTAAAACTGTATTTTATTTAATACTAGCATACCCTGGGTGCTTCGCTACCCTAACTTAAATAAAATACATTCAAAATTTTGTTTTCTTTTATAGAAAATTAAAATTGATTAAACATTTTTTTTAATGTTTCAGTTTTATACGTTCAATATCACGTGATCAAATTCGCATTCATTAAGAAGGTTGTATTTTTAGTTTCATTCATTTAGCTTCCACATTATATAAAATTTCGAAAGTAATATTTGAAAAAAAGTACCATCAAATACCTCTAATAGATCATCATTTAATAAAAAATTTTATGTTTCTGTGTTCAATATTATATACAATTCAAAAAATATAATTTGATGAATGAAAAAGTACCAAATGTCCCTTTCAGTAGATTCTCATTCACTAAGGTCCCTACATTTTAAATTTTATTTTCAATATCTATGTTCAATATCGTAAAAATATCAAAAAGTACCATCGGAAAAACGAAAAAGTACAAAAATCCCTCTCAATAAATTCTCATTTAATAACGACCGTGTGTTCCGGTTAACCATTATAAAGAATCTAAAAGGTACCATTTGAAGAATAGAAAAGTACCAAATAGTTCCCACTTACAGAATATTATTCAGTCAAGACCATGTATGTTAAAATTAAGGTTCCTAGGTTGAATATTTTAGAAAAATAAAAAAGTACAATTTATAAGATAAAAAGTACTAAAAAGTTGTCTCTAAAAGAATCTTATGCAATGAGGACCGTGTAGTTTAATAATCATGTGTTTTGAGTTCATATTAAAGAACATACAAAGAGTATCATTTGAAGAAAGAAAAAGTACCAAAGTGGAATAAATTTTACCTAAGTGGAAAGTACTAATAAAAAGAGTACAATGTTTCCCTTTTTCGCTTAGAAATATAATTTTTCGAGAATTAAGTTTACAAAATGTTCCGTATTTAAATCTATATATCACAGATAAAACTCAAACGATTCAAATCTCCATTAATTTCTTCTAGAAAAATAGTGCTTTCAAAAAGTACCAAGCAATTTACTCGAATTTGGTCCTATATAGGCCTTAGTACTCGAATTCCAAAATAATTTGAATAAAACTAAATTTCCCGTTTTTTCTCTTTTTGGTACATTTTCCCCAGTGAAATAGCAAAAAATTTATTACAATAAATATTACAGAGTTAGTCCGTAATTTAATAGGAATAATTCAATAAACCGAAAAAGTTTTCTTAATGTGCTAAAAAAAGTATCATAAATACAGTTTTCTCCCTTTTACACCCAAAAAGGACTGAATTTTAAAAAAGTACGAAACAAGTGTCTCATAATTTTGGGAGATGTATCCAAAATATTTATAAAAATTTGATTATGTTAATTATTTCAAAAGTTTTAAAGGGCCAAAAAAGGTACCAAAATCACCTTTGTTACACATTTTTATCCCTTAACAGTACGAATTTCAAAAAAGTACCAGACACCCATATGCTCATTTTAAGAATAGATACAGGTGCATTTAAAATTTTTCTTGTATCACTAATATTGTGTAAGATAATTAAGAAAACCTGTTTTACCCGTTTTTCCCCCTTTTTACCCATTAATGTACAAATTTCCAAAGTCCCTCCTTAGTGGATCTACATAACCAAAAACACATCTACTGTCAAAATTTCATGATTCTAGGTTCAGCCGTTTGGGCTGTGCGATGATGAATCAGTCAGTCAGTAACGCTACTCTTTTATATATATAGATTAATCATACGCATAGGGTTTGAATGTTTGGGTACAGATTGAATATACATATTTTTTAAAGAAAGTAAAAAATAGAAGTGTTTTGATTATTATTTAATTAGTTGGAAAACAAATAATTGGCCATAAATAACCCATAAGATTTTAACCCTTTAAACAATCATGTAATAGTATTATATTTAGCTATGGCGAATCTTTATACCCACCATCAAAACTTTTATCTTTGTGACTTATAATTAGAATCATTTTCTGAGTCCGTTCGTATGTCTGTCTGTCTGTCTGTCTGTCTGTCTGTCCATGTAAACATTAAAGATATTTGGATGAAATTTGGTACACACATTACTTTTGGCCCAAGGACCCTACTGATTTTCGTTAATATAAAAAAATCATAAAAACCATTAAAAAGAACTTTTTTATACCCTCCACCACCATCAGTGGAGATAGAGGGTATATATAAGTTTGTCATTTCGTGTGTAACACTAAAAATATTCATCTGAGACCCAACAAAGTATATGTGCCTTATCAAATTCTGAGTCGATTTACCTATGGCGTCTGTTCGTGTAAAATGAAGCAAACAAATTTAACCAAATTCACCCAAAATGCTCTTCATTTTCCAAAGTTATTTGGTATTTAAATTGAGGTCAGTTCACATCCGGAAAAGTTATGAATCAAAATTAAAAAAAACTCCGAAAAAATTCTTTTATTTCTGTTGCAAATTGACAGAATCGGTTCACAACTTCATATACCTCCCATACAAATGTACATATTACCGGAAAATTATTTTATTGTTAATAACTTTCGTTAGAATGTTGATATCTTTACAAAAATTTACAAATTGAAGTTTTATATTAATAGATTTCATATAGAGGAACAATTTTCTGAATCGGTACATATTTGGTCGTAGCTTTCATACAAGGTCCCTTCCCGAAAATCACTTAAACGCACATAACTCATTACATAATTAAGATATCCATACAAGATTAGGCACAAATATTGCCTTTATATACAGAAATGTTATTGTAAATTTTTTTCGAATCGGTTCACAATTAATTGGTCATAGCTCCCATACAAGGTCCCTTTCAGAAAAATACTTAAACGCACAAAATTCATTACTAAATAATGATATTCACACAATATTTGGCACAAATGTTACTTTAATACAAGATCCCCTCCCAAAAATCATGTAAACGCACATAACTCATTTCAAATTAAGACATCCATACATGATATGGCACAAATATTGCTTGCACAGGTCCCCTCCCGAAAATCACCTAAACGCACATAACTCATTACTGAATTAAGACATCCATACAAAATTCTTATACTCACCAAAATCAAAAAAGATTTGTCATTCCGTTTGTAATATGTATATCGAAATATTGCTCTAAGTCTCATTTATATGTACATTTATTCTGGGTATTGAAAATGGACAATATAGGTCCATGATATCATGTAGAAATCTATGAGGATCGATCCATAATTGACACTACCCAGATATAAGATCGCCTTCAGAAAGTTACTTTAACGTATATAAGTGGCTTAAAAATACCAGTATATGTAGCAATGAAATTCGTCACAAATAAGTCTTATAAATGACAAAACCTTTTTGATGAAATTGGTGAGGATCAGAGAATAATTGAGTCTACTCCCTATAAAAAGTCCCTCTCGATAAATTACTCTTACGTTCATAATTGGCTTCAAAATACCAGTATAGAGATGTGGTTTGAAATTAGCAAGTTTTAGAGGAGCAAAAATCATTTTGTAAAATTTTATAGAAAATTGCGCATTTTTTTCGCTTTATTCTAAATTTCCCAAACTGAGGTTTGCTATTCTTTCGGCTGTGTTTTGGATAATTTAATTTAATTAATGGGAACTATAACTTAGGTATCGGCTAGTTTCTATACGCATTTCGCCGTTTGCTTAAGCCAGCTCAGCATGAAATCTTTCTAAATTTTTTAGAAAAACTAGAAATTTTTATAGTATATTCTTTTTATAAACTCTATGATAATTAAAAGAATCTACTACAAATCATAAAAGTTTTAACAAAACAATAATACATTTCTATTTTTATTATTTTCTTCATTTTTTTGTTCTTTTGATTTTCAGACTTGCAATTGTAAGTACAAATTACTCACATCACTTACATTTCTTAGACTACAGGTGGTATGAATAATTTTTTATTTCAGGTTTTTTTTCAAATATGTATACGTTCCGATAAGTAAAAGTAATTTACTTATCTATGATTAGAATACCTATTTATACCCTAAATCACTATAGCGAGGAGGGTATTATGCGTTCGTGCTGATGTTTGTAACACCCAAAATATTAGTCCTTAACACCTTAAAGTATACCAATCGGCTCAGATCACTTTCTGAGTCGATTTAGCTATGTCCGTCTGTCTTTCTGTCCGTCCGTCTGTGTGTCCATATCAATCTTGTGCGCACTCGCAATATTCAAGATTTCAGATGAAACTTGGCATATTATCTTCTTTTGACCCAAGGACGAGTCCTATTGAAAATAATTA